GGAAAGACAGAAGGGAAAGACAGGATTTGTTTGTGTTTCTTTCCCCAGCCAAAGGTCTCAGATTTACCAGGCTGCTTGTATGTTTGCACGCTGGCTAACACAGTAAGCCTTGGTCCCCAATGTGCTTACCTAGTCTTATGACATAAATAATATCTACAAGGAGAATCAAAATGCCAATGCCCCACCACAGTTCAGGTGCAAACAAATTACTTCTTTGCTACAGATGCAAGTGTGAACCGTATCAGCACTTAGATAGAACCCACGAAGCACACGAGCCTCGGCATTTCCTGTGAGGATGCAGGTGGGAGCACAGATCCGAGAGGGTCTTATAGCAGGGCAGCCAGATGTGAGACATTTCCAGACTCATGGACAAAAGTAGACCTGAGATTCTTGGGGCGCCAAAATTTTTTTTAAAAAAAAAAAAAAAAAAAGGACAAGCCAACTCCAAAATTCATCCCCCAATTCTCACCGTACCCTTCATGCCTACCTTGCTCCACCCCACTGAAAGCTATTCAGTACACCAACTTATAACCCCACCAGAACAAATATCAAGTCAAGAAGAGTGGCAGGCAAAAAATAAGACCATGTCCTCTCCCCAGTTGTGGAGCTGACTGTGCGCAGTGGCATTTCATCTTTGCACGTTCGCCATTCAGCAATTTCAGATTTTCCAGCAGCTGGCTGGGAAGTGTCCTGCTACACACCTTCACAGCATGTAGTTCCAGCACCGGTAATGCATGAAATCAGCAACAGCAGCCGTGTGCAAACACTCTGCTGCAGTCACTGTGCTGCGTGTAGCTAAACTGAGTATCTGACTGTCCTGTTGGATTCCCTGGGTGCATCCAGGATCTCTGCAGGAAACGAAGGGCTTACTTGCAGTGGTTTGTTTTTTTTTCCACTTCAAGGACAGTGTACTGTGGTGGATTCAGCCTGTCTCCTTTCAGTGTTGTACTAGAAAGAAGTTGATTGTGGCCTTTTTATTTATTATGTTTTATAATATAGTTATTATTATATAAAGCCTGTGAGGGCCACTGAGGTAATTAAAGAACAGGAGTTGAGTATGTGACCTGCATTTAGTTATGGGTAAGCCCAGTGTTGGGTGTCACCATATGGATCATGATGTAACATTTAACAGCTGTGGGTTTGATGTGCCTCCATGCTAATTAAAGGGCTGGATTAAGGGACACCTGTTCAGGCAGAGTCCCTTGCATGCACTGCCCATCAGAGCTCGTATGAATTGTGCCCCACACACATTTGCTTTAGGAAACAAACTGGTAGGAAAGTGAGTTTTGCTGATGCTGAAAGGACACAAGAGCTTGGTAAGAAACCTGAACTCTGCATTGATAAACTCTTCCTACACAAAATTTCCCAGATGGAGATTGGGCTTGGTGGGAGGGGGAGCAGGGCTGCCTTTGTTTTGTTCAAATAAAAAGGCTTGTTTCTAGTTGAACTAATAATTTACATGGCTTTTGGCCTCATGCAGATTTGCAGTTGAGTTACTAGGCATGAGCAGGTGATAGTAATGGACACTCCTGGGATTCCTTTGGGAGCACCGAATACTGCCTGCACTGTCCAATAGAGCTGAAGGGCGTTATGGCTATGCACTGAAATGTCTGGCATATACAGCTGCTAGTGAGAGGAATCAAGGAGTGGCCTTTGTCCCAAAATCTCAATAGTTTTATTACACAGCAATTACAGTTACTGTAACTTTTGTGTATCTCTTCCTTCTTCTATCTCTATCATATATAATCACCAATATGGGCAGCCATTCTTAGCCTACCCACCTCATTATATCCCATGAACCCATCAGGATTCTGAGGCATTAACACATGGAGATTGCACTTCATTTGGTTTTTGACAGCCTCTGCCTCTGTGTGAGTATACAAATATGTATATACACAGACTTGTGTATTTATGTGTATTATTCAGATGCTGCATTGAAAAATACATATTTTATATGTATGTATATAATACAGTATTTCTGTTTTCAAGGCAGCTGTTCAGAAACATGGCTGCATACCTCCTTAGCTACCAGGCTGCTAGACTTTGCGGGCCTTGAATGGTTTGCCCAGCCTTTCCCAGGCATGTCTGTAGTCCTCCGATTGACCCCTCCTTTCCACTAGCTCCCTATGAATTTCCTTCCTGCAGGGCAGTCTGGTGTAAGTTTGTGTAACAAACTCACCAGCTTCAGAAACTTGGGCTCCCTCAGCAAATGCTGGCGTAGGGAGAGTGGATGTCAGAGGGCAGGTTCAGTTGGGACCCCTGAATCCTGAGTTTTCAAGCATCACAGCAATAGCTGCACGACCACCTGAACTGCAACTCTAGAGGTGCACAGATGGTTCAGAAGTCACTCTCAGTGACCTGGAAGCTCTGTAATAGAGGGTTTGCTTTGCTGTGTGTATCTCTTTCCCCATGCTTTAACTTGCATATGGCTTGTCACCTGGAAATCTACAGGATGTCAAAGAGCAGGAGCTAACTCAGGTGTCTTCACTGCAAATGCTCTTTCCTAAACCTCCAGGCTGAGGCCAATGATGTCCTCCATCCTATTCCTTTGATACCATATAGGCTGCGTTTTAAAGGGTAAAACAATGGCTACAGTCTCCAGCCATGTCAAAAAGTACAAAATACCTTTAACAGAGATAATTATGAAATTATCAAAGGATTACCTCCTCATTAATGTTAAGACCACGACTGTTTGCATGTTCTCTGTCACATCGGTGAAGATTTTTGTTGTAACCTTCTGGTCTTTTAAAAATGGAATCATAAGTGGAAATACCTCCTGTCTTAAGAAAAGGAGAAAAAATAGCTAATTCACAGTACTGCTTAACTTTACAGGTTACAGAATATATGTAGTCAAATCAATACTTAATCACTCAGTGCTTAATACTTAATAACAGTGCACATATACCATTAAATGATGGCAACTGTAATATTAATGAGCTACCATTAGCAAGTTTGTGTCACTCCTTTGGAATAGTCTGCAATAAAAACACTTAAGTCTGTTCAGCTCTGGAATTTCCCTAGTGGCAACTTACCTCAGTTTTTCCCTGTCATCTGTTGTAACTTTTGGAAATTTAAGTGGCATGTTTGTTTGTTTTACTTTTCTGAACTTATATTCTCCTTCTTACATTTGTCAAATGATCTGGCACTCTGATGTAAAAGGAAAGCAGGCAGTTTCAGATTTTTTTGGAAATTAAAAAGACGGGTATCCTGCAGTTAAATCACCATTTAATTTTTGATTAAAGCTGACTTCTGAAGAGTTCAGAAACATGCCACAGTGGTAGTTCAATCCTGTACTGTCCTCTATGAAAATACAGTATACCCCAAGCCAGAATATTATTATAATTATGATCCTGTTGACATAGTTGCATCCAAATAAGCAACACTAAGGTTCTGATCTGCTAACAAATGCATTTGTGAAGAAGTTCTCATCAATGGAATCAAAGGAATTTCAAAACCAAAAAAGTTTTCAAGGAAGGAAAAGGAAAATCCTCTGTTGAAATATGCTGTCAGTTGTTAATGAACTTCATTAAAAGGTCCATATTCTGGTAAACGTGTCAATCTGTCACTGGTTTTGTGACTACAAATTTGAAAAATTGTGCATTTTGTTGGGTTTTTTTAACCTCTGTTTTTACAGTGTGCCCAATTCAGCCTTTGAAAAACTCTTGTATTTGAGTCTTACAATTTACAATGCTATCCTCCAAAAATAGTCAAGTCAGAGCAGGTCAAGAAGACTATAATGGTTCCATTAAAAGGAAACCATAGGTAAGAGTGCTAGTGAGGCACCACTGTCATCACAGGCTTCTTTTGGAATGGCATCCCCATTACTTGGTTCTGCCAAGAAGAGAGGTGGCTTGATATTTAACCTATCCATCCCTTCATTTCTTAGAAACCATCAAGCCTCACAGAATTTTAGGCACGTTCAAGAACATCCTGCATCTGATTTGTCACCTCCATTATCATTATTATTTCTGTGCTTCCTTGCTTCTCCTTTCCTCCCCACGTTACCAGTTTCATTCAGAATTTCAGTGGGCATCTAATCTGTGCTCACCACTAGGAATGTTATTTGCTCATTTGTTTTTATTCATGTGGCATTATTTGTCCATTATTTGTTACCTGTGTCAGAACAGATAATTCATTCTTTCTGGAACTCACAGATAGGTAGCCAGCCTGTTATGTCAAAAACTAGCCCTGTTCCAAGTGATCTCTTGAAGATCTTCTGCCAGATGTGTAGGGGCAACACTTCTGTGCCAAATATACTGATAACTTTTTGCTGTTGTTTCTCTTTGCTGTTAAATGCTGACTTAGTTGGCCTAAGCGGTGGGGAGCTGTTTCTTAAACCCTTCAGAGCAAGTGAATCACTCAAAGCAGACAATAAATTTACATCAAGTTGGGCATGCTCTGTGTACCACTACAAAAGCTAAGCCCTTTACAAATATTCATTTATATTTCAGATGCACATAAAAGAGGTAATAACTTTCTCCATGTCACAGAAGAGGAAACACCACGCAAACTGGCTACAATAACTTATGTAAAGCAACCGATGGAGCAAATGTCAGCCAAGTGATTAAAAGACAGGAATTTATGGCTTCTGAGCACACCTTCCTCTATTTCTCTCCGCTTCAGTCTCTGACACACAGTTGGTTTTAGATATTGAAGCTGCAAAAAGGAATAAAATTCCTTTTCCTGTATAAATAAAAAACTTCCAAGTATCTAATTCCTTAATTGTGCAGAAAAATGGGTTGAATCTGCTTCCTCCCCTGTGGCCAAGGCCTATGCTGTGAAGAAACCTACTAAACAGCTGTTACCACTTTTTGTTTCCATGCCACTGGAGCAGCATTTTCCACAAACCAGGTCATTGGGAGTGTGAAAGCAGACTTTATATTGTAAGCAAAAGCTCTACCATATGGTTGCTAATTCCATGCAGATTGGTTAGACTGTGACCTTTGCTAGCCCCAAGTGTACCATGCCAGCCCTTTGACCTGCCCTAGCCTTACTCCTGTTCTGCTCTCCCAACTGTGTTTTGTTAAGCATGGCACCAACTGTGCCCACTCACCTTTGGCTGAGAGCACCTTCCCAAGGTAATGCTGAAATCAACACAAAAGAGTCTGAAATGACAAATCCACCTGTGTTTTAGCAGGCCCACCCAGTCAATGCTGGAAATGGGTTTTGCTGTTCCTTTAACGCCCAGCTCTGTGCTGTGGTCTGCACCCTGCCCACATCGCAGGACCTGCAGACTCTCACAGGTCACCGGCTGCTGCCCACTGCTCTGCACGTTCAGCAGCCTGTCACTTGGGTGGGGATTCACGGGGTGCATTTATTGCTATAAATAAATACATGTTGCCATAATATTGCTTTATTACACTAATATAATAGACATTTCAGAACTTTTAAATGTTTTTTTTGGGGGGGGTGGAAATGATTAAGTTAAATGTCTCGTATGACTCACTTCAGAGAGAGAAAGGTTGCCTACCCGAGAATTACAGCCCAGCTGAGGCTGAAGGTGTAAGATTGTTTTCATTTCTGATTTTGAATAGAGGACAAATGATGAAAGAGGGTGATATAATGTAGCAGAGAGTGAGGGGTGAGGCTCCCTGCTAGTCTACTCACATTACTACAGGTTAAGTGTGAATGTAACACCTTCAGAAGCACTCAGTTACCAAAGCATATACTGATGTTTTTGAGTAGCTCCATTGATTTGCTTTATTAAAGCTGAGCATACGGAAAATTTGTGCAACACATATTGAAAACCTTTTCCCACGACTGAAAATGAAGCAGTTTCTTATTAAAGGATCCTGGAGAGTGTGCATTACCAGAAAAAACAGAGGTGCCGCATCCAGCCCTAGGAACAGATGATGCCTTTCCTAGTGTTCCCCCTAAAGACCTCTCACATTTTGGTGATGCCACATGGCTGGTTGGTCCTTAATCCTTAGCAAACCATGTCTCTGCCTTCCCTTGCCATCCAGCAAAAGACACTGCCCTCATTTTCCATCCAGGAGTAGCGAACACCACTTTGCAAAGGCCTCTGAAGACAAAACCTGCTATTGAGACATTAGATAGCTCACCTAGCAACTAACGTGCAGCATTTCCACTGGCCCTGGAAATACTAACGGGATTTTTTTAGACACCTGCCCGACAGGTCCCTCACCATGAGGGCCGAGCCCTTGCGCAGGGACTAAGCACAACGACCTTGCGCTGCGCAGAAACCCACGGGGAAGGCTCGTCCCTCCAGACC